CTAATGGAAAAACAAATGTTTTAAAAGATGGATCAGAAGTTAAGAAAGAGTCACTTACTTCTAAGAACAAAACCACCATTGGTGATTTCTTTAGTCTACGGCTTGATTTTCCTACTCGCATCTTTCTTATCCTGTGTTGAGAAATGTGGGCAGGGACAAGAACCCAGAAACCTGTATTAGCAGCCCCATGTTCCTGTCATACTCTGTAGGGCCAGCAGTAAAAACAAGGTGTGTATGTTATTCAATTTCTTTAATCAGTCAGGATGTAAAGCACTTTTGTGACGGTGTCAGAATTTTGGTCCTCTACCTCGCTTCTGCTGCACTAAGGGAACTGGGTTCAGGCCCCTATTACTCTTCTTTCTAGACAGCCTACGTAAAGCCCTTATTCTACATTATCTTTGTGAGATGGCTCAATATAATCATGCTTCCCTAGTTAATTTGAGATTATGGACAGTAAAAGTTTAGAAAGTGAGGTAGTGTATAATCACAACTATTCTTACAAGCCATGGTAACCAAGACAATTACAACACAGTTTACTTATAGCGTATTTACGTTGACTCCTTTATGGGACCATAGAAGATTCTTTCATTGTTACTGGTTACTGCTCTGAGTTAACAGGGTCACACACATTGATCACACAGCAAAAGGAGCCAGTTATGTGCAATGCTTCATACAGAAATTTTACATTTTACCTTACACTACAACAATAAGAGAATTAAGCCATAGCTTTTGGTGTTTTCTAATTATTTGGTTCCCACTGAAATTCACCAACAATTAAAATGAACAGTTCTGCCATGATCAGCCCACTTTCCGCTGTCATTCTAAAATCAAGGATTGTTAATTTAGACCCATACCTTTACTTTAAAAGACACTCGACTGTGTATACATAATTATGAGATGTGTCTGTTAAGTAGGTCCCTCCTCTAAATTCACTGATTTTCTTAAACAAAAAAGTAAACTTTTATCTAGCATGTCAAAGTCATTTGTAAACTAGAAACCCTCTTGTAATAAATACTTCCCATCAACATTATTAAAGGGTGACGTTAGGAACAACAAAATATTCCATTCAGAGCATTCTAAACATTCCAGTGTTTGAGAGACTGAATGTTTTTCAATCATCTAAGATTTTATTCTTCAGGTATTTCATCTTCTATAATAGCGTACATTATCCAAAATGTGCACAATTACTTATTAGCAAACCCAAATGCCATTAGGTTAAACAAAATCCTCTGTATAGCAAAAGGGGTTAACTAGATTTGTATTAATATAGGAGCCAGGCTTTTAATATTCTGCAAATGTTAACAAAGAAAGATGATAATGTTGAGTTAATATGGGTTAAGCATAAAATGAAAATAAATTTTTCTGATTGCGAGGTGTTGACACTTTTTTGGCTAGGGCCTCCAGCCTGTTCCTGAAAGCTGTGTAATTACAGAAGGCTTTTCCCCTCCTTTCCCCCTCCTGCTTCGAGCCTACCCACATTAGTAATGACCCCTTCACTGCTTCAAAAACCACTAATGGTCTTCAGCACGGGCAAGAAAAATGAACAGGATAAATTGGAATCCACAGTCAGTAATTTGCATCCTATGAGGCTGCTTTGGCCACTCACACTCATTCCTGGCCATCAGTCGTTGCCTGTCAGGTGCTGCACTCTGCCACCATGACAAATACTCCTCCTAACACTCTGATTCGTCCAAACAATGTAATTGTCCTCCATTCTCCTTTTGGTAATGGAGATAATGAATGACTGCACAAACAAGAAGGATTGCTCATCACTGACGCCAGTGTGGCTTCAAACTGGAAAAGGCCTGGGTACAGATTTTAATGGGCTGAAAATACTGGTTGGGGTGGGAAGGGCAGTGGCAAAAAAAAAAAAAAAGTAAAAGTCCTTTCTGTTATGGCATTTTCCTGCCAAATTAATGGGATTTGCACCTTCTGACTTTTTGCCCCCCTAAGATTTTTACAGCCTAAGTTTACAGGTTATTCGCCCAAAAGAAATATATTTTGCAAACAGCACAAATTAAAGTGAAAGAGTATCTAGATCCGCAGTGGTAATGTCTTCCAGTGTGCTGTTTCTTTATGCAGTGTTGTTGATCTTTTTTGTGTGTTTAGTCTTGCTCACTGTTCACTGTTGTGATGCATTTGTCCAAGGCAGTTCTGACAAAATGTGGGTTGTAGAGTCTGTCTCTGTGTGTGTGTGTGTTTGTGTGTGCATGTGTGTGTTGAAGCCAGAGAGAGAGAAGGTTTTGATGAAATAAAGGTTTAGGATATAAGCAGAAGAGTTGAAATGGGAGATTCCTGGAGAGTCAATTCCTTTAAGTTTGATTGTAAATTTTGTAAATTCTGATGGAATAACAATAATTCTTTCTAGTGCTTTATTAGAAATTTAGTCAAATGACCACAGAATTACATAAACAGTGCATTTTATCTTGGGAACCCCTGAGCTGTATGTACTTTGACTATGAAAGGAGTTGCAAATTCCATCCACAATCATCAAAAAAACTGGTACTTACCAAAATGCACCTTGCACAGATGGCTTTTTTTTTTTTTAATTAATAGAGAAGACCATAATAACTTTAACTTATTTAAATAATGGTCTCTGCTTTTTGAACATTGGTGATTCCACGGCCCTTTAATACATGAGGTGGACTGTTTGTTTGAAAGTGCTTTGGCAATCAGCCACTATATTTCTCAAACTAAAAAGGGAATGGAAAACAATCAGCTTTCAGAGGAATTGGAACTACGGCAATGTGTTTTGGATTAATTTACAAATATATGTATACATTTAAGGCCAAACTGTGGAACTAGAGAATTTCTACTACATAGTCTGTCATATGCATTCTTCTGCTTTATTAGAACAGACATCATATTGAAATAATAAACATGGGAAGCCTTCACTTCTCCTTTGATGTTTATTACTAAATGTCTGACTGGCTCAAATGTAAAGTAAACTTTGATATGTTTGCACTTGAAAAATGGAAGTAGACCATAAGCAATTTGTTGTCAGTTTCCATATTCCTGGACTAAAGCTATAGTTTAGTCTGATCACTGTTGGGGGCCAGCCCACTCTAGTCCAGTGGCCCAGAGGTGGCTCAGCTCACTCATAAGAGCACACATTATGGTAACCTGAGAGCAATGATTAGGATTCCCCTCATCCTAAGGAGGATGCACAGGTTAAACTTCTTCACATCTCGAAAGAATTCTAAAGCCACTGTTGAATAGAAGTCAATCACAAAGATCCTCTTGCTTTGAATATCAACTGACAGCTGTTCAAAAAGCTAAGAAGACATGTATGGCTTACGACTTCATGTAGATAGAAAATGTATTTTAATTACCTTTCTTCTAGGGACTCATTTGAAAGTAAGCTATCTTTCTTCAAGATACTGACCTTAGGCCTTCTTCTTTTTTGTTTTCCTTTTGGGGTTAACTTGGTTTGCCAAGTACATGGAAACAGATCTACAATATCCTTGGAATACATCAGTGGGACTTTTTATGGGTGAACCACCTAATGGTTAACTTCTTTTGTGATTAACCCCTCTGTGATGATATCCAAATTGAAACTGATTTATCATGAACTTTATTCTATATTGAAAGAATTTATATTGATGTTTTGAAATTTTAAGTGATACCTTGAATCACCCCACAAATTAGATATGTGCAATGCATGAAAAAGGTAGTATTTGGAAGGCCAAAATTTGGAATTAACGTAAATGTCTATCAACTGGATGACAATTAAATCAAATCTGAGGTTCTAATGAAAAGGTTGTCCCCATATATTATTGAGTAAAAAAAGCAAGTTGTAGAACAACGTGTATCATATTTTTGATGAACGAATAAATAAATAAAATATACATATATCTATGCTTGTAGTGCAAAAAAAATCTGGAAAAATATACACTGATAATAGGTCATGTTGTGTAAGGCATCGAGTAGGAATTTTTTTAATATACTCCTATATTGTCTATGTATGTACTGTTTTGAATAATTTTAAAAATACAGTATCAATTTTAAAATTAAAATTATAATTTATATATTTCATATTTCAAAAAAACTATAGTCATTTAAATTTTTTATACAATGAGATATTCTCTTGCATAGTGATAACTCTTTAATGGACATTTTTTAAAGCAAGACATCTCCAAGGTTAGTTCTGCGTCTTAAGTCACCTTCCTACCCTGTAAGTCTGACTCACTTGCTAGTCTGCAAAGCTGACCAGATGAGCTCTGACTGAATAATGCACAATTTGTCAAATTACTTCTATGATAATGCAATACAACTATTTAGATAATGGTCAACTAACTTGTTGGGTTGAATCTTGGTTTGAGTAAATGTGTGGAAACTGATCACTATCATGACCACGTCCTTTTCTTTGTTCCCCTCCAAGATGTATATTTTATAGAGTTAATCCAGATGACCTTCATTTTGATGATGCCACTCATACATGAAACCCTCTAAGTAATGTCCCTAATGTGGATGATAAAAACGCATTGGGCAGATATCCTTTATTGATCTAGGACTATGCTTACTGAAATAGGGTACAGGCAGACATGCTAAGGACTTAACCCCTGAATAAATAAATGCATCTTCCTGGAATGTCAAATTTATTCATTTGTCCTTAATTTAATACCTTTTTCCTTTTATTTAAATACCTTTTTCTTATGCAAACAAGAATTCTTATGCAATGAATAGAATGTATATTCTCATAAATTTTGAAGGTAAAACAAGCAACAATTAAGATATTTTAAACCAATCTCATCCTTGTAGTGAAATAAAATCACCTTTCCACTAAATTCCCATGGCAATTTATTTGGTATTTATAATTTTTAGCTTTTCATTGTCATACTTTATTTACATCTCTGTTAAGTATACCTTTCCGAAGGTAAAACCTTGGGATTTTTAACTTTTACATTTCTCCCCCATTCTTTCTCAGTGTCTCTAAATATTTGTAGAAAGAATGAAAAAAAAAGATGTAAGTTCTCATTTAAGCTTTGTTACTTTAAACA